TATTGTACAGTTGAAGAAATTGGTACTCGAAAGAAAGATTTCTTATTATACAGAGGTAGTTGGAAAAACTTTTCCTTTTGTCTCATTTAAGGAAGTTAGCTTTCTAGCCTTTAGCATTTATTTTTCTTGATCAACCCAGCTATATCAGGGTAAAGGTAGAATTTCTGTAAAAGAAGAGACATTAAGAGTTCCTGAAGTTTATCTGGCATATGGCTAGGCTTATATTCAAAACATCTTTGTTATATGGCTATAAGTTCAAAGTGGAATCACTGAGTAGTTTTCACTAAGTTTCTGAGTATAGGTGGGTATCAAAACAAGATAAATACTGTTCAAGGAAAAAACTTGACAAGCTTAAGGTTAAACAAAGTTACTTTTCATGTGTTCTCACCTTTTCTTACTAGCACCCCAACATTTCTAAATACCCAGTTAAATTTAAGTTAGTATCACTTTCCTTCACAGATAGTACTTTTGTCAATATTTTTTGATAGTACTTTTGTGGGTATGCATGCATGCACTGGTGCCTATGCATATATGTGTATATTTTGTTATCTTTTGTGGCAATCCTAAATCTTTCAGAATGAGAAAGAAAACTGCATTTTTCCTTTTTTCCAGTATATTTCTCCCCTCAGAGAGCTGTGACATGAATGCCAAATAAATATTCAATAAAGTGGATTGAGTTACTTCGTAGAGTTAGAGTGCAAAAAAGCTCTTTCTGGTGGGAAAGTGGGAAAAGGGTCGGAGAGTCAGAAGTTCAGGGATTCTCGTTCCCGTGGTTCTAGTGTCATCATGAACTCAGTAACTAAATTTAGAGGCAAGTTGTCAAGCTCTCAGAATGACCTATTTCCAACTGTGTAAAAGAAGTAGAATTTATGATTTATAACAAAACTTTTAGCTCTAAACATTTACTTAAATACGTAATACACTATTAAGGCCAAAATACATGATCCTAAAATACGTTTGCATGGGTGCTTTCAAGCTAATTTCCTAACCAACTATTTATTCATATCCTTTGGACACATAAAAACAGATGGCTTGGTGTGCCTTTGTCATACTTTCAGTCCCAATTCTCCCATGATCCTTGGGCATCTTTTATATTTCACCAACAGTGTTACTGAAGCCTTGTTAAAAGGGAATCTTACTGGTGTTTGCCTTAGAAATGCAAGTTGTAGGATAGTTGTCTTGTAGAAATAATATAATAATAATAGTTAATGTTCGTTGAGACTTAATATGAATGCCAGGCACTGTTGTAAGTATTTGACTAATTTCACTTATTAAATCTGCACTGCAACCCTAAGAGTGAGATACTGCAAGTTACCTTCATTTTTCAGATAAGAAAACCAGATACAGTGTGAATAGTTTTCCCCTGCAGTTGTGCAGCATGATACTCTGGAGGAACTGAAGCAAAGGGATGATTTAATAACATCCAAGGTCACGTATCTAGTAAGATGTGGAGCTAAATTTTGAACCTAGACAGTGGCTCTAGAGCTCATGCTCCTACTATATCATTCTTTATGAATATACTTGGGATGTTCTCACTCCTGCCTGAACTGTATGGGCTCTACCAAATGAACCTAGATCCTGCTTTCTTGACTTTTTCTGTTGAAATACCTGTGAAGAACAAGTATGAAGAGAAGTAGTAAACTAAATTTCAATTTGCAAAGATCTTCATATTGCCTATAGGCAGGTAATGTTAATGGGGTAGATATCTAAAAAGTACTGCAATTTGGTCCATCATACTTTCTGCTATTCCAACTGCCTATGGTCTTACACCTGATTGTTTTTTACTCCTTCCATCTTTTTCCAGTTGTTTCCTATAAATTTCCAGATTGAGCATCCTGATCACTTTGGAAATGATTCTCTATTAAAAGATGTTCAGTGTTTTGAGTGCCTTGTAGACCAATTTGAGTAATTTTCAGAATGGCCCATTTCGTTTCTCCCTATAGGTTTCATTCAAGTTAATCACCATACTCCAGATAACTTCAAAAGAAAGGGAAGCTAATCAATTTGAGTTTTGCTAACAAAGAAGAAAATGGCAGCAAAGTTGATGTCCCCTTTCTCCCACACCTAGACTTAGTGCAGAAGATTCCAATTTCTGGGCATTCTTTCCTTTGGGATGAAAATGCTTATACTGAGCATAACCATATAGTTTATCATCCAACGTGGAATGATTTTGAGGATAAGAGAAAGTATTATTATAATAACTTCGTAAGGATAATGTATGTCCTGAGCAAACAGGACATATGGCACCCTGCTGCAGTAAGGCTCAGGTCTCAGAGTTGCCAGGAGGAACAAAGTAGTCTGTCATCTGAATAGAATGAAAGTGATACCAACAGTAACAGTCATCTTGGGCAGTCGGGCCTCAGGTTTCATTGTATCCCTTCACTGTCCAACATTCTCCACTTGCCCTGCCTTTCCCTCAGAACTAGATGGAAGAAAGGGAGCTTAGCTTTCATTGTGTATTTTTCTAATCCTAAAGTGCAGTCAGAGGAGTGAAGCTAATTAAGCCAATAAAAGTAATTATGAAT